TAGAATAGAATAGAATAGAATAGAATAGAATAGAATAGAATAGAATAATTTATTGGCCAAGTGTGATTGGACACACAAGGAATTTGTCTTGGTGCAAATACTCTCAGTATACATAAAAGAAAAGATACATTCATCAAGGGTCAAGAATCATAAGGTACAACACTTAATGATAGTCATAGATAGAGTACAATAAGTAATCAAATCATACTAGGAAACAGTCAATATAAATCGTAAGGATACAAGTGACAAAGTTAGTCATACAATCACAAGTGGGAGGGGATGGGTGATAAGGAGTGATGAGAAGATTAACAGCAACAGTAGTGCAGACTTTGTAAATAGTTGGACAGTGTTGAGGGAATTATTTGTTTAGCAGAGTGATGGTGTTCAGGGAAAAACTGTCCTTGTGTCTAGTTGTTCTGGTGTGCAGGGCTCTATAGCGTCATTTTGAGGGAAGGAGTTGAAACAGTTTATGTCCAGGATGTGAGGGGTCTGTAAGTATTTTCACAGCCCTCTTTTTGACTTGTGCAGTATAGAGGTCCTCAATGGAAGGCAGGTTGGTAGTAATTGTTTTTTCTGCAGTCCTAATTATCCTCTGAAGTCTGTGTCTGTCCTGTTGGATTGCTGAACCAAAGCAGATAATTATAGAGGTGCAGATGACAGACTCAATAATTCCTCTGTAGAACTGTATGAGCAGCTCGTTGGGCAGTTTGAGCTTTCTGAGTTGGCGCAGAAAGAACATTCTTTGTTGTGCTTTTTTGATGTTTTCCCACACTTATGACCATTGCAGCCTCTCCATGGTCATGTGATCAAGAGGCAGATGCTTGATAATAATCAATGGGGAAGCCAGATTCAGTGAACCACCACGTTACTAACTGAACAACTGCAGCGTTTCACTTAATAATTGTGGCAAGAAAGGTCATAAATTAGGGCACAAATCACTTAAACAACTGTCTCACTGAGCAACAGAAATTTTGGGCTCAATTGTGGTCATAAGTTGAGTGCTACCTGTAGCTTGTTCTTGTTCATTTTGATTGGTTGTTTCCAAAACTTCCTTCTGTGGTCCGTGAAGTGATCCTGCAAATGAAACAGTGCGGGTGTTAAGATCAGTTGGGATTCCCACATAACAAAACAATCCCCTTGCTGAAAGTAGCCGCCCTTTAAAGAAGCTCACTTTTCACGCTTGGTTGCAGGCAAATACTTAAACTACCTTCTCAACCTTGGCAACTTGAAGATGTCTGCGCCCCAGAATTCCCCAGCCAGCTTTACTGGAAATTCTGGGAATTGAAGTCCACACATCTTCAAGTCCCTGAAGTTGAGAAACATTACTTTCTAATCATCCATTGTTAGAAAAAAATACGTCTTGTAAATTCTACACATACACAACAAAGCCCACACACAGCTCCACAAGTATGAAACGGTGGAGTCGTAAAGGCATAAACTCTCTGGGCCGGGGGTCTCCAACTTTGGCAACTTTAAGATCTGTGGACTTCAACTCCAAGAATTCTGGGAGTTGAAGTCCATAAATCTTAAAGTTACCAGGGTTGGAGACCCCTGCTCTGAGCTATTTTACCTTGGCAGACATAATAGCTCGTTAAACTCTGAATAGACTTAGCTGACTGAGAGTCTATACAAAAGTCTATGTTCAACGTTATCCTGCTTTCCCCGTCTTCTTTGTGACGCAATGCAATGCGCGGCGCTCGCGAAGTACCCTCTCCAGGAAGGACCCTACAAGGTTATCCTGCATTTAGTGGGAAGAGAGCATTAGGAGTCTCTCGCAGTGCCTTGTAAACATGTGCATTCAAAATAAATACTGCAAAGGGTTCCGTTCAGAAATCCAGTCTCTTGCAGACCAGAGACGTTTTAGTCACACTTGCAAATATGATCACACTTAACAGATAGGGACTGGACTGAACTATTTGTTTAAACGCGTTCAAACGTTGCAAAAAAAAAAAAATAGAAAACAAAAATACAAACGCTGCTTAGGGTTCAAATTGGGTCACCATAATGAAAATCTTAGCACAGGTTTTTGTTTTTTTTTTAAAGGGAAGGAGGATGACTACACATCCTTTGGGCAAGCCAACCTTTTCTGTTTTGAAGATGATTGGACAATAATGTATAACTGGATAGAAGCATTCCTGTCAAACAGACAACAAATGGTCAAAATTGGGAGTGTCCTATCAAATTCTGTACCTGTCAACAGTGGTGTCCTCCAAGGCAGTGTTCTAGGACCAACCCTCTTCATACTCCACATAAATGACCTCTGTGATCATATTAAGAGCCAACTGCGTTCTCTTCGCTGATGATGTAAAACTGTTCGTATTGACAATACTGCTACTCTTCAAAAAGACCTCGACTATGTATCAGAATGGTCAAACAAATGGCAACTTCAAATCTCAACAAATAAATGCTCTGTCTTTCATATTGGCAAAAAAAAAATCAGAAAATAAAATACAAGCTGAATAGTCAAGACCTTGTTGATGATCCAGACTCTGTCAAGGACCTTGGAATTCTCATCTCTAATGATCTAAGTGCTAGAGTCCACGGTAACTACATAGCCAAAAAGGCATTAAGAGTTGTTAACCTAATCCTACGTAGCTTTTTCTCTGGTAATATCACACTACTAACTAGAACATACAAAACATTTGCTAGACCAATACTCGAATACAGCTCATCAGTCTGGAACCCACATTTTGTATCTAATATTAACACAGTTGAGAAAGTCCAGAAATATTTCACAAGAAGAGTTCTCCACTTCTTTACTCGTTGCAGAATACCTTATGCCACCAGACTCGAAATTCTAGACCTAGAAAACCTAGAACTATGCCGCCTTCGGTCCAATCTAAGTATAGTATGTAAAATCATACATTGCAATGTTCTACCTGTCAATGAATACTTCAGCTTCAACCATAACAATACAAGAGCACACAATAGATACAAACTCAAGGTTAACCGTACCAAACTTGATTGCAGGAAATATGACTTCAGCAACAGAGTGGTCAATGTCTGGAACACTCTACCTGACTATGTGGTTTCTTCCCCAAACCCCCAAAACTTTAACCTTATATTGTCTATTATTGATCTCACCCCTTTCCTAAGAGGTCTGTAGGGGGCGTGCATAAGCGCACCAAGGTGCCTACCCTCCCTGTCCTATTGGTTCTTTTATTTTTCTTATATGTATCCATTTCATGTATTCATAACTATGTTTATTCTTATACCTATTATCTTGTAAGCGATTGACAAATCAAATCAAATCAATCAATAAATAAATAAAGTCTCATTCTTAACTGAGCATGCTACTATGCTGGCTGGACAGGTTGCTCTACTGCTTTTGGAGAATATCTTTCTCCTTCTATCCTGGCCACTTTACAGAGGCACAATTGAGAGCATTTTAACAAACAGCATCACTGTTTGGTTTGGTGGCAGCAGCGCATCTGATAGAAAGTCCATTCAGAGAGTGATAAGAACAGTCGAGAAGATTATAGGAAGCTCACTTCCTGTCATTCAAGATACTGCTTATATGTGCTATGTGCTTAGAGTTCAAAGCATTGTTACACAACCACTTCAAGGTCTATTTCTGTTGCTCCCCTCTTGGAGGAGGTTTCAAAGTATTTCTAGCAGGACTACCAAATTATGTAAAAGCTTTGTTCCCTATGCCATCCATCTGGTAAACTCGCAAGATTCATTTGTCTCGCTACGCACATGTATACATCCGAACTAGACTGTGTTGTTTCTCCATGTCATATAATCTATGTGGGTATGTGCATATTAATTTAATTTAATATTTTATTTTATTTTAATTTTATTTATTTATTTTGTCATGTTTATATATGTATATTATGGATATTATGTATATTAGAGGTGGAGACCTTTGAGAGCTGTATGCAATGAAATTTCATTTTAATGGATGCCGATTAGTGTACATTCAAAGTGACAAAGTTATTCTAAGTCTAACTTTGGAGTTACTCAGGAGGCTTGAGCTTGGAATGTACCAATAAAGTAAAAAAAATCTAGCTCAGGGTTGAAATAACAGATAATCAGAGTTGGAAGGGACATTGTAGGTTATCTAGTCCAACCCCCTGCCCAAGAAAGAGATCCTATATCATTTCTGACAGATATGGGTCCAATCTCTTCTTGAAAGTCTCAAGTGATGGTGCTCCCACAACTTCCAAGGGCAATGTATGTAACTGGTATGCATGTATGTAACTGATAATAGCAAATGGCATGAGACAAGGATGCATATTGTTTCTCAATCCATTATATTCTCTATATAAGTTAGATATATGCCCTGTTTTTTGAATACAATTGGAGCAGGATGGAACAGACAATGGGAATAAAAATTGGAAGTTGAAAATTTAATACTTTGAAAGAAGCAGGTGATACATCTGTATTATGAAAATAAAGAACATAGAAGAGCTCATTACGAAAGAAAAAGTGGAAAGTAAAAACTCTAGATTAATGCTGATTATCAGGAAGAAAAAAGAATAGCAACTTACATGCTTTATGAACTTCCACACGCAATTGACAGTAAAAAAAGATGAAAAATATCTCTATGTTCTTGGAGTCCAGACAGTAGACAGTGTGTTGAAGTCAATGCTAGGGAATAAGACAGTGACCAACATAGACAAGATAGTGAAGAATAAGATCATTTCTATGACAATCAAGATCATATTGGTCATTAAAACAACAATCTTTCTAGTGAAAACAAGATCCTGAGAAAGTGCAAGGGAAATGTAATAGATACCTCTGAACTGTTTCTGGAGAATTATATGACATACAGCAATGCATTCCCTGTGACACTCTATGGAAGTAGAAATTGGACTTTGAAGCACAAAGAATATTGAAGCTTTAGAAGCGTGGAGACATTTCTAAAGTTTGGTGTTAGAGAAAATTCCTGAGAATCTCATGGTCAGCCCAAAAAACAAAGCAATAGATCTGGGGTGTCAAACTGGCTGCCCACGGGTGCATTATGTGCAGGCCACGCCAGTGGTGGGATTCTAATTTTTTTTTTTACTACCGGTTCTGTGGGCGTGACTTGGTGGACGTGGCAGGGGAAGGTTACTGTAAAATCTCCAGTCAGATGTGGTATTTGCCAGTTCTCTGAACTACTCAAAATTTCCGCTACTGATTCTCCAGAACTGGTCAGAACCTGCTGAATGCCACCTCTGGGCCATGCCCACCCCAGCTCCATGAAGGGGAAAAAGTCGTGATATGTATGTGATGGCGGTGCGACTTTTAACACCTGTGCAACAGATCATCAAACAAATCAACCCAGAGTTCTCACTTGAGACCCAAATGGACCAGGTTCAAATTATCCTACCTCAGAAACATGATACAAAGACCAACCTCTAATGCTGGGAAAGGTTGCACCTTGAAGAGCTCTGAAAGCTTCCGTTGGTACAAAATGCCCAGTGCGGGCAATTATGTGTACCCCTAGAATGCACTGCTCCACAAATTGCATTAGTTGCCAGTCTGCTTCTTGGTTCACTTCATGGTGCTAGTTATGACCTTTGATGGCCTACGTGGCAAGGGGCTAAGTTATTCATTCATTAGATCCAACCAAAATGGCATATTATGGATTCCATCTACTAAGGAGTTTTATCTGTCAGGATTCAGGAGACCATTTTTTGTGGTGGCACCTGCTGTTTGGAACATCATTCCCTCCTATCAAGGTGAGGTTGGCCTGGACCCTTATGACTTTCCAGAAATAATTTAAAATGTGGCTTTTGCAGCAAGCTTGGGAATCCTATAGGACAGAATATGTGAAGAAGTTGCATTGTTCGTATGCTTGGGCATACACTCTTCTGTGCTTTTTGTTATAGTTGGAAAGTAAAAAAACTTGTATTTTAATGTTTTTAAAATATTTTTGTTATTTTTGTCTGCGCCACCCAGTCACATATGTGAGATGGTTGGCTCCACAAATTTAATAAATACACAATTTAAAAGTGCCAAGTTTAACAGCAATCTGATTTTTGTCTTGATGCAGAGACGTAATCTGATTTTTGTCTCGATGCAGAAAATCTAGTTTCAGATTTTATTTTTTACAATAACAACATGGATGTCAGTGCAGTCTTGGTCATTTTCCTTCCACAATTAATGTTTTTCTCCTATAAAAATGCACCTTCATTTTGGTCTGGGTTATGAATTAAACAGCATGGTTTATAGGGAAAAGAAAAAACAGGAATAACGTTCCAGTTGCAACATCACAAATCTCAAAATTCAATCTAGCAACTGATGGGAACAAAAAGACCAGCAGAAGCAGTTTTTAGTACAAGGTAAAACCTTTATTACAACTTTTTTTTTCATTGATAGGTATACAACATCTGAAAGACAGATCTGGGGAGAGGGGAAAAGGTAATATTGTTATAAAATGTCACATTTATTGCTACATTACTGTTATATACAGGACAGTTCTCAAAATTCTACTTTTAAAAAAGTTAAGGATTATTTAAAAATTCCAAATAATCCAGCCAGCTGTTTTTTTTTCTTGACACTTGTATAAAATTATTATATATATATTTTTAAAAAATGAACACAATCCATATCTTGAGGCACTCAGAAACACAACTTTAACCCCGTGCTCCCCTTCCCAGTAATTCTGAATCAGTCCAAAAAAATTATTTTTTTAAACTATCTTGCCCTTTTCCCTCCCCCCCGATACTTTTCTTCCTTTTTCTCTTTTTTATTGGTGTTAGGCATATATATATATATTTTATTTATTTATACTATATATATATATATATCTTTAAAAACTATAATGTGTATCTGATTTAATAACAAGGATCTCAGCCAGTTAAGTACAGCTGGATTTTTACACACAGGCAGCAAACACCAAGACTCCAACCCACATACAGTTAGATAAAACTTAAGTCCACCGAAAGACTTAAGTTAGTCCATTCACTTCCATAAGACATTGCCATGATTAAACTGTATCTGGCTTGAGGCAGCCCTCCCAAAGCAAAACAAATAATTTTTTTTAATATAAAAAAGCCGTAATAACAAAAAAAAAAAAAAAACTTAAAACACTCTACAAGGACTGAAAGTTACACAGCCTTCCCCACCCCTTCTAGAAAAATATATCTTAAATGGGAATCAAGTTACATTTTGTTCTCTGCATTGCTTGAACCCCTATTTTTGCTAACAAAAAACATGTTACATTTTCCCATGACAACTTGATTTTTTTTTCCGCTTGTCCCTTTTTGTCTCCTAAAACCTACATCCCGGCCCCACCCCACCCACCCCATTCCCAGAAAAATAAATATCCCAAGAGACTTTGGGACACATCTATATTACAAACCTAAACTGGTTTCAAACCCGTTTCTGGATACAGCAGCTCCCAAACCCAGGAGATCTGCAAAATGTAGTCTTAAAGAGGGTCCCATTGGGAATGCGCAGACATTCATGAACCAACAGCTCTTAACATCATTATCAACCTGAAGGATTCCTCAGGGTTTCTCAACCTTGGCAACTTTAAGATGGGTGGACTTCAACTCCCAGAATCCCTCAGCCAGCTGTCTGAGGAATTCTGGGAGTTGAAGTCCACCAGTCTTAAAAAAATTTCTAAGGTGGAGCAACACTGCTCCAGACAGTTAAAACTGATCTGAAACTAGCTTAGCGCTTGTAGTGTAGACATACCTTGGAAAGGTGCTTCCCTTTCAACAGAAATACTTTTAAGCAATCCAAACAAAACAAAAGCATAATTGAAGGAGAAGCTGGTTTCATGCTGGTGGACTAGAAAGAGATTTGGGGAGATCTGGCACTAGAAGGAACCTGGCCACTTTCTGCTTTGCAGGATCACATCTCTACGGTGGTGGTAGGAAACGTGGTTTGGATTGCACACATGCCATTCTGCTCCCTCACCCCACGCAAAAGCTGTGCGAACCCAGCGACAACCCGATCCTTTGCTCATGGGACAGAGAGAAGGAAGAGAGGGAAAGCCAGAGCTCTCTGGAGGACCTAGGCCACATTTTTTTTCCTCCTATGTTCTTGAGAGCTTTCCTCCTATGTCCACTTTTGTACAGAAGGGCTGCACCCCTGTAATCAGAAAAAAACAGGGATACTGCAATTCAGTCAAAGCAAGTGACAAAATGGAAGAGACTGTGCCAATTTGACTTGGCTGGCATGTCCTTTGTCATCAAAAGATAAGTGTCTGATCTTTTCTCCTTCTTTGCAGAGAGGTCAAGGCAGACATTTTGTAGAAAAGCCCATCCCCACGGACCCCTTTACGATAAAACCTCTCTCAACGGCATTAGAGCATTACTCCTCAACCTCAGCAACTCAAAGATAGGTGGACTTCAACTCCCAGAACCCCCCAGCCAGCGTTGCTGGGGGGTTCTGGGAGTTGAAGTCCACCTATCTTTGAGTTGTTGAGATTGAGAACTACTGCATTTAGAAGGGAAGTGGTTGCGGGGTTACCACAAACTATCCAGCAAATGCTACATAACTTTTCTCCAACCATAAAAAGGGACATGCGGCGAGAACGTTGCAGGTCACATTTTGAGACTGCCACATGCCCTTCAGCTGGCTCCAAATTACCGAGTAACCCAAGACAATGTTTAGTTACAGTCGGCTGTCCTACAGAAGAATGCAAAATCTTCTGCAGGTTTTCAAAGATATTTGGCCACTTGGCCACGGGCTACTTTTCTTCCTCCCCAGGAGCGAAGCAACCTTAGAAGGGATTTCTCTGGATCAGGGAGACATCAATATTCTCCTTTTCTGTCCATGAAAAAAAAAGCGGGAGGATCTCCCACGAGAACACACGGGGATCAGGGGAAAAGTTGGGAGCCACCCCCACCAGCATTTTCTGCAGAAATGCAACAGTGATGGCAGCATGTTCTTAGACATGTGGAGCATTGCCAAGCTGGGTAGGAGATGTGTCTTCTTTGGTGTGTGCATTTGTTTCACAACAGCGATTTGGACTCTGCACGCCACTCTCTCTCTTTCTCTCTCTGGCGCTATATGTATATATATTTCCATTTGTTTTATTTTTTTGCTGGGTGAGTCTTGTTCCTTTTCTCCTAATGAGCTCTTTGTTCTGACTGCAACCTGTTAGGATCTTTCGCTTCCTTTTGTTCCACGTCAATTTGCACCAGTGCTTAAAAAAAAAAGAAAGAGGCAAGTGGTTTTCCATCTCCTATGTGCCTTTGAAGAATACTTCTGCAAGCTCCCAGAATGTAGAAGTGCAGGCAGAGCTGGAGGGGGCAGAGTTAAACGCATCATCAGCTTAGAGTTGTTAAGTTCCCATAAACAGTCCAAGTCCAGCCCCCCTTGAATTCTGTTGACCCCTTATCTGGTGCCGGTTCAGATCTGAACTTTAGTCAACGAGATTCTTGTGTATAGGCTCAAGCAAGGAATCCTTCTGAATTGCGACTTAACGTACGGTCCTGATTCTTTGCGCTTGATACAGAGGCTGCCACCCAACTCAAAGCCGTGTTTTCCAACCAATGTTCAGAAATGCCATGTGTCATTCTTTGTCTTTTTTTGTGTTAGAAGGGATTGGAAATACTTTTGAGTGGCAGGGAAGATAGGAGAGGGCCAGACCAAACAGAAAGCTTCCAAGAATTGCAACTGGTTGCATCATTTGGGTGAAAGACATAAGACACAAAGACTGGCAGCTGATGGATTCATTCCCCCTCCAACCCTCCAATATTTCAAGCAACAAAAAGAAACTGAGGAATTAACCAGTATTTTCTCCCCCCTCTTTCTCTCTTAATTATAAAAGCTACTAGCCTTAGGGAAGATTTTATTAACCCGACTTTCTCAGAGCCAAAATGCAAATCTCTCTTGTACCAATCTCTTCTTTTGTTTTTCTTTTTTTTTTCTTTTTAAAAAACATCCAGTCTCTTAATACAAACTTTTAATATTTCTGGTTGATCTTATTTAAAAAATAATATGCAACATTAACTATAGAAACAGCAGCAGAAAAAGGCATGGGGAATCATCAAATCTCTCTCTCTCTTTCTCTCTCTCTTTTTACATTTTTTTGTTGTTGCTTACAAAACAGAGATGCAAAAGAAGCTTTAAAAAACAAAAAAGGCATTACTATGTTTGTTCTACATTTAAAAAATTATTGTAACTAATGTTCTTTTTTAAAAAAAAAAGAAAAAAAAAAAGAAAAAAACGCATAGGCACAATTTCTTCTGCTGGTCTTTTGTGAAGACAAGCCACTTAAATGTCTCCCCCCACCTCCCTCTGAAGGATATGCATTAAGAAGTTCCAGAATATACAGTTAAGGCAATCTTTGCTGTTGGGTTTCTTGTGTTTTGTGGTTTTTTTTTCTTTTTTCTTTTGGATAAAGTTGTTGCTTTTCCTTTCTGGTGGAGGGAAATAAAAGTTCCTTTGAGTACACTGAATTTCCATTGCCATGTCAGTATTTCAACAAGACTGCAGTTTCTGGCGTGGACACCCAGCAGGGGTGTGAAAATGATCCAGTCCTCACTTCTTCCTACAGACATCTGCCTCCAGGTCAAGGGGGAAAAAAATCACCTGTAAAGAAATCAGAGGAAAAAGTATAGAAAACTTGATGTTCTACACAGATCACATTGTAAGAACCAGCAGAACCAGCTAGGTAATAGCAATAGTACTTGGACTTATATAATGCTTTATAGCAGTGATCCCCAACCTTTCTTATGCCGCGGCCCGGTATCCCCAACCTTTTTTATGGCGCGGCCCGGTATCCCCAACCTTTTTTATGCCGCGGCCCGGTATCCCCAACCTTTCTTATGCCGCGGCCCGG